ATTTCTTTTCCATTGAATATTAAGATGATTTCTGCGCGGCTTTATAAGTAGAACAGCCTTATTTTCAATAATTCTCAAACAACATACTTCCTTTATACTTTGAATGACATTTAAAGAATTATATATGTACAAAGTGCCTCTTGTATCACAGTTTGCTAGTGGATAGTAGGTCATTTGAATAGCTCTCATTATATAAAAGAACAATTTCCTTAGCTTTATTTTGCTTACAGAAATAACCTCTTAAAACACTTCAGCTATGCACATATATCTCCTCAGAAAAGCCTCTAGAAAAATATACGGTTATAACCATATAAAGTGCAACATGCATAAGTGTCAGCTCCTTATCTAACATAACTTCCTTTGGTAACTTTAACCTCAATGTTTCCCCTAACAGGAAGATCCCATCTCCAAGTATACACATACTGATAAAAAACCTATGTCAGCTTAAAGCAGCTGCTGTTTCCTACAGGAAGAGGGGGTTTTGTTTATTTCATACCAGTCATTAAACAAGTGCAGGTGAATGCTCAGATGGTTACAACGCCCCTTCACCACCACAGGTATATGCCTCTATAAAAATCAGACACATTTGCATTCTCCTGTGCCCAGGCATAGCTTCCAAAGTCTATTAATTCTTTTAAAAACTCTACCTAAGCAAAAGTCTCTATCTCAACTTAGGTAAGCAGACACAAGAATATCTTTTTTTCTGTTATAATTTTAAATCTGCTAATAGCTAAGTCTTGAAAAGTTAACTAGTATTAACTCAGATGATACTTTTCTACTTGTTTCTACAACAGAAATAATACTTACTCTGTCTCAAATGAAATCTGAACTACCTTAACACTAATTACCATGGAAGTTAAGAAAATCATAGGCTTACAATATTTATTTTGAAAACCTTATTGTAGAACAGACCCTGGCAACCATCTTTTCAAGTATAGAGATAAAACAAGGATCAAGCTGATTGGAAGAGAAACAGAGGCATCTCCAGAGACTGTATTGGCAAAAGAAACAAACTGAAAAATCTTGCTTGGTGCAAAGCATAATAATACTTGAAACTCAATACTGCATTTTAAAAGCACAAACGAAAAATCCAAAAAATTTGGAAAAGGAGTATCTTTAACAGTTAGCTATTCAAGTAGCTGCAACCAGGTAATAATGGCAACTGGTGAAGTTGTCAAGTTATGTCAATGAAATTAAGGGGAACGCTTACTTTGTTTTTTTCTGGCTACAAAACAAACTTCATTGAATGAACCCCCGGGCTGCACTGAGTGAATAAAAGTTAGGTAACTTGCACTATATTTTTGCATCACTCTTTTTAAACAAAAGCAGATACAAATGGGAAGGATCATAATGTTTCATGATTTGCTGATTATAAAATCTTGTCTAGGGAATTTCATTCTTCAGCATACAAGTACAAAGCTGATAATGTCTTGAGCACAGATGGCTTGCTATCTGAACACTCACTTGTTTTCATTATTGTGTTTCAGTATCACAGCTCTCTCATATTTATTATGTTGAGCTGCTAATGTGCTGGACAAGTCACCTTTTCTGCACAAAAATGTATTGCCAAGTGCAATAAATTGCAAGTGAGACCACATACTAAATTTTTGAATATTTACACCAATTCAAACAACTTGAGACAATATATTAGCATCTCCTAGTGTTAACAAGATGGTTACAAGTCTCAAAGACAATGTAAACAGCATTTGGAACTACTATCAGTGAATACATCCATAGTGGGGATGTTTGTGTACAGGACCTATGATTTCAGACACCTAACTTCAGCATGACCCCTGTGGAGTACACACTGACGTTCTTAAGAATCCTAAAGGAAATGTACTAAGTCTGGAATTTCTCCAAATCTGTAGAGAAATTATTGTTTTTGTCATGCACCTGTGTAGTAGGAGCCAGTTTTAAGATCTATTCAGTCATTGCAATACAGTAGGAGAAGCCTTGTAGAGCAGCAAGCTTCATTACAACTATTGAAAAGACAATGAGGTATAAAATATAAACAAAACATCGGTGGCAATAGTGATTTTAAATTTTCTCTTAAACTTGTTTTGACTTTTTACAATTTGGCAATGAAAGTAACTTCATCTCTAGGCTCCCTCAACTTTACAAATATTTAGTGCATTCTTGCTGCTGTTAAAGGTTTCAATGTATAGCAAATATATAAGGAAATAGGTAAGTGTGGAATGTGTGACAATGGCTTTAAGAGAATTATAGATTATTCGTGTAACAACTCCATTGGAAGACAGACTAACTAGTACTTGCCACTCTTCTGATGTAGATCAAATCACACTGTACCTCATATTTTTTCTATAACTGTACAGAAAGGACAAAGTCACAGTACAGAATGCAGAGCACACTACAGAATGTAGAGCAACTCTGCATAATTTTCTTTCAGAAAGTATGAAAAGGAAGAATACTGACTTATTGCACAGCATCTTGCAGTTAAAGACTATTTTCACTAGGTAGACATCTTCCACATGGCCACCGGACACTTCAACCTGTCTACGTAAATATCAATCTCCCAAACTCTTTATCCTTTCAACAATTCACTTCTCATGAGTCTTTGCTAATTAAGCCTTGCTCTTTTCATAACCTACTTTGAGTGCAGTCAAAACTTTTGGCTTTGGCCATCTGTAATTTAGGTTAAGTTTAGAATCAATCTTGTTCTACCTGTAAATTTATGCCTTAAAAAATATTTCAGATGAGTGTTTCTTTTTGAAGTTTTGCAGAAAACAGTAGCTCAGAGCACTGACTGCTTACCCATTTAAGCCATCTTTAAATCTTGGATATTAGGACACCACATTACCAAACCAGCAAACTTGTCTAATACTGCAGGTAAGTCAAATAAAAAGCACGCCAATGCATGGAGACAAGGTGCAATGAAATGTTTAAAACAAACTTGACTTTTCAAAAGGACATGCACTCTGTCTAAAAATTGCTGACCTATTAGGATCACTGCACCATTTTGGGTCCAATGGCAATTCCATCTATAGGACCTGTCTTTCTTGCCTCTGGTTGAGAGTGGCCTTTTGGGTCTTCTCTAGATATGCCAAGTAAGCAAGCTCTCTGATAGGGGACTACTGACAAAAGGATTAAAATGGGCAGGAAAGATCCTAAGCAGCACAAATACAACTGTGTGAGAAACCTATAGACTACATGTGACTGAACTGTGTGCTCGGCTACTTCAGCAACTTGAAGTGTGTGGCTTTTTCAACTCTCCTGCAGGCACACACAGCTTTGCCTTCAAAACCTAGGCAGCTCACTCACGATATTGAAGCTACATCTTTGATTTCAAGTTTCTTCTTAAACTCAGCATTTAAGATGCTTTCAATAAATCCTAGGCATGCTTGGATTCAAAAGTCAGTAGCTAGGCAAAGGCAGCTTTAGATAAACCCTGCCACAGGAAACACGAAGGCCAATACTTACAAGTCCAGCATCCCTGTACGTTTCTGCCTCTTGACAAGTTTGGTCAATGATGTGGGCCAAGGGAAGAGAACTTCTTGGTGTCCCTGCAAAAACAACACTGCTTACCCTGGCGCATGAGGAATTGGAGCAGCACAGAGTAGGCTTTGGGGTAAGGTGACTACAAGGGCTGGCCTGGTGAAACAGACAGGAACGGGTAAAGTGGCCAAGAGGCTGCTGTGCCTCCACATGACCCAGCTCCATGGCCTCCCTCCCCTTAAGTGACATATTGGCTCATCCCTCAGCTCTTAAAATGAAACTCTCCGACGTAAGGAGCATCCATCACACGGGTCTGCCTTTAGCCCATCGTTGCCCCCGGCAGTGCTGCTGATCCTTCTATAGTGACACTGAGCCCCGCACCGCGGGCCTGCACGGTGCCTGGGCTCCACACTGCCTAACCCGAAGTTAGTTCAACCATCTTCAAGCCTAACCCGCAGCGTCAACGGCCGCTCTTCGGGGCTCCCCGACAGGAACGCGCACTCCGCGGGGAGCCCGCCTCCATTCACT